TGCTTGCTGAACAGCGAGAATATGGACACGTGGTGTGCGCGCAACAGTCAGTCAGTCATGTATCGACTATGCCCTTGTGTCACGTAGACTAGTGATGCACATCACCCGAGTACATGTTGATGAGGCAGGCCAATACAGTGTGGGAGCAACCACAAGAGAATAAAGCTGAATTTCGCAGCTTCACCCTACCATAGAACCCAGCGCCGACACCGCAGCCCAGCAAGGGGGTTCTTACCAGTAGAAGCCTACGACACAATAGCTAAGGCATTTGAAGCGGGCGATGTATTCAATAATTCAGATGGCCCAGTCACGTATGAAGCGTTCATCAAAGAACTGAAAGACTTGATGGGCAGACATGATACTCGTGTAAACTCTCGCAAAGGTGTTCAGCGTAAACCTTGGTGAGACACCGAGGTGAAAGAGGCGTTGAAAGCCCGACGTGCAGCAAATCGAGAGCATCGGAGCGCCATTCGGAACCTCCCAGCTGAAGATTGCGAGCAGGCGTGGCACAAGTACCTGGGGCTGAAGTTGAAGTGGCATATGCAACAACTAGTGCAACGCAAGATTGCGGAAAGCGACTACAAGAAAATCAAGGAGCTCACAACACCAGGTCGTAGTAGAATGCAGAACATTTAGAGGTGCAGTGAAATCTCTGTATAACGAACCCTACATTAACGAACTTTTCAGATGAATGAACTTTAAAAAAAAAACCGCACCGACTGCTAATAGTTTCAATGTAAAACTATTTCGCTACTACATTCTTCAGAATACCGAACTTTTCAGAATAACTACCATGAATTTAGTTCCGCGTTATGTTAACAATGCCTCAGTACTACAAACTCATGTTTTGAAATCCGTCTCCACCACCGGAGCGGTACGCAAACAGACGACAAAGCGAACAGACACCTTGGTTTTCAGAAGTGTGGCAGTTTGGGCTAGTTGGTATGACATGACGATAGTTATAGCGCGAGAACAGAATGACGACAAAGAGTGCTCATGTGCCTCTTGTCTTTTTGTCATCGTTCTGTGCTCGCGCTATAACTATCGGCTTCTGAAAAGACGCACGACAGTGCAGAGGGTAAAAAAAAAAAAACGAAAGGGCGACCTTGTTTTTTTATTGAAAGCGGGAACTGCGGGTTTACAAGCGCAGAGGCGAGGGCAACATGGGAGGGCAATGTCAGCGAGGTAGAGTGGGAGTCGCGGAGCTGGAAGCATAGGCGCGGAAAACCTGAGACAGCGAGGGAGCAGAAAACGAACTGCGAGGAATTTTTTTTATCACTTTTTTATTTCGGAAGAGGCGCTGACAGCCGCAACGCTTCGGGTTTTTCTTTTTTTGTCACTTCTTTATGTGGTCTAGGACTAGGAGGTTTTGTTTGTCAATCTTGTTCATCTCTTTTCAGTGATTACTTATCGCGTCCGCAAAGCAAGTCGGCGTTTAAGCTGTGGTGCTACTACGAATGGGTTCGTCTCTGCTTGCGACAAAGAAGCGGAATCAGTTTTCGCTAAGCGAGAAATTGGATATTCTTCGGCAACTGGAAGGCAAAAAGCAGGCTGTTGTGACTAAAGAACTGAGTCGCACCACAGGAATGTAGATGAGCTGGGGCTCTTCGCGAAACAAAGTTTGTGCTGCACGCATCAAAAAAAAAAAAAAACTGACTTCTTCAAAGTAAACGTGCATTTTCTGGTGTTCACTGTGCATTAGTTTTTTTTCTCGTTAAAAATGAGTTCAAGGAGCCACTATTTAAGGTAAGTTCTTTTGGTCAGTGGAAAATAGGTATTTATGGTCAATTTTTGGGTTTTCACTATAACAACCTTTCAAAATAATGAACGAATTGCCGCGGCCCTCTGAAGTTCGTTATACTGAGATTTCACTGTATGTAGCGAAATTCGACAGAAAAAGCCGCTCACGTCCAACGCTCGGAGACAAGGTGACTAGGGAACACTTCTCCAATGTCAAAAAGCGGACAACTGAGTACATCCAGATTGTTTCTGGAGCCCCGGCTCCGGTGGTAGCCGCAGAGACCGAAGTACATATACCACCGACCCCAGAGGATGCATAGGAGACAGACCCTAAATGGAAAATCACGCGAGTAGCGCTAGAGCATGCCCTAGCGAAAGTAGCATCACCGACGACACATGGGCTGGATGATATGCCCGCAGGTCTGGTAAAGTGCCTGGGACAAATAGCGAGGGAACATCTTGCTGCTATCCTCACGGGTATTGTAGAAGGAAACCCCATCACCAACGACTGGTTGCAAAGCCGCGTATGTCTAGTTTCCAAAAAAGGCACTGACAGCAGTTTCCTCAGCAGCTACAGGCCCATAACTGTGAGCATTGTGCTATACAGGCTATTTGCACAAGTAGTTAAGGCACGAATCAGTAGATGGGCTGAATATAGCGGACACTTCACAGAACTCCAAAATGGCTTTTCCGCCCAAACAGACGCCTGGAGGATAATTTTTTCGTGTTTACCCAATGCATTGAGATTGCGCGTAAACAATCCCGCAATCTACTCACATGCTTCCTGAATGTTTCGAAGGCATACGACAGTGTTCCACATCACCTAATGCTGCAGCGCATGACCCAGCTGGACATGCCACAAAAATGAATAGACCTTCTGCGTCGCCTTTATTCGGCTTGCTCGGTGGTGGCACGCTTAGTAGATACGGCATCTGAGCCAGTAACGGTCTGCAGAGGACTCAAGCAGGGGTGCCCACTCTCGCCACTGCACTACATGCTGTATGCATCGGGTTTAGAAAGTGCCCTCATCCAGTCAAATATCGGTTTTCAGATGAAATTCCTGTCGGAAGGGCCGCCCGAAGTATGGACACTGCGGGGGCTGGTTTTTGCAGATGATATTGTTCTTCTTGCAGAAGACCTACATCACCTACAACAGCTGGTGACAATATCAGCTCTTCATTTGGCAGACCTAGCTAGGCCTTTGGTTTAACCCTCAGTAGTCGGTTGTTGTCCAATTTGCTGGAGAAGTAGACACAAACCTCCCATTAGAACTTCCTAATGGAGACAAGTTGCTTTTTTCAACAAAATACCGGTATCTGGGGGTGACCATAGGCACGGGAGAAGACCCATTCTCGGGGCACGAGGATCGATTGCGGCTGACTTCCCAGCGTGCGAGCTGCATTCTGCGCCGGAGAAGCCTCTGGGGCTGCAACAGATATGTATTGGTGCGAGGTCTGTGGATATTTATTCATGTACCATGTCTGACCTTTGCAAACGCCATCATATGCCTGTCTAGCAAAATTCGTGAGTGGCTGGAGCGAGGCCAAAGGGAGGTGGGCTGTTTGGCATTGGGCTGCCATGGAAGGGTTGCCGTGGAGGCCATCCAGGGGAACAAGGGTTGGTCTGCGTACGAGGCGCGGGAAGCCACGAGCAAGATCATTTATGAAGGACGCCTACACTTCATGAACGATCAGCAGTGGGCCCGTCGTATGTTCCGCGACCTGCACTTCGTGGGACTCGAGACACAGTGGTCGAACACAGTCTACTCTCTTCGACGCAAATACGACATGTTGGACCTCTCAACAATCGAGACCACGAAGCACAAGTTTTCCGCAGCAGTACAGAAACGTATACGCAAAGTGGAGACTGCACAATGGGAAATCTCGATGCAGCAGAAGAGTACACTTCAGCTGTATCGTACATACAAAGAGGCCATTGCCCCGATATCTGTGTATGACAACAGTGGTGGAAGTGGGCTACTGTTCGAAACACGTGCGGAAGCACTTTGCACGCTCACATACCATAGCCACTTCGACCCAAACATCCACTCCACCCTGTGCAGAGAGTGCGGAGCGGAACAGTAGACAGTTGACCACTTGGTGCTACAATGCCAAAAACTCTCGCCGTGCCCACCAGAGGCCACTACACTAGCTGGCCTTGACGGACAGGAATGCAAAAGCAGTTTCCACTACAAAGACAAGGCTCCAACAGTGGTGAAATTGGTGCCAAAAGTGAACTCTTCTTTGTGCTTTTGATCTTTTTTTGTTTGTTCTTTTCTTTATATACCTAGGCTTGAACACAACATATATGTGTTCACCCGTTATAAAGGGCAAAGCCACTACTCATCATCTTCATCAGCCATGGAGGAAGAAAAACTGAGGAGAGGCCCTCGTTATCCAAGCGGCAGAAAAAAAAAAAAGTGTGGCGGAAGTCAGGTGCTTTTTCGCAATGGTTGCTATGGCAATGTGGGCACGCCGCTGATGCCCCGTCATGGCCCCGTCGCCGGCAAATTACACTTTTGACCGGCTTGTTGTCCGTGAATCTGAAATATTAGGAGATCAGTGTGTTCGCGGATGACATAAGGTTTGAGAGGTTAATCCTACAGTGAGTGTATGTCGTCACGGTTGCGTGCGCAGTATTCAGCGTGCCATCGCGAGGGGTTTTCGAAGCCTGCGACAGCTTCTCCGAGAAAGCTTCACGCCGCAACATCGCTGTTTGCCTTCGCTTGTAGTGCTGCTGCGCTCCTCTACGATGAAAGGATACATTTCCGAGAACTGAAGACACCTTCGGCAGCTCTTAATGTAGGAGACAGTGGTGACCCGTTTCCGTGCGCGACGGTGACAATTGGAATGCATTGGCCCGGTGCTCTCACTGAAGGCTGTATCGTCAAGAGTAGAAAAGACGTGCCTAACCCAATTATGTTTGACACAAGAAGGCGATTTGCGAAGCTGCTTGACATGCTCAGATTCCATTGCGTTTTGTGCGAGGTAGTTTATACGGGCCAAAGTTCTCTTCAAAGCGGTCGTACCCGAACGATCGCCCGCTCTACTGTAACTTGACTGAAGTGCCGCCACCTTGGTGCGATTGCAAGAAACTTTATGGTGGGATTGTTATGATGCACAGATGCAAGGGATAATCTGAAGGTGCAACATGGTTCTATGGAGGAAGGCCAATGCAGATGGCATTCTTAAATTATGTCGCATACCCTTAACTTATCGGTTCACCTGAAAAAAAAAAAAAAAAGTCCACGGCGATTACCCTTTCGAGTTGCACAGTTTCTTGCATTTAGCTCAATAGGCTTGAGGCACGTAACTGGAAGTTTATTTGAAATGCTCAAAAGCAATGCTTGCACTCAATAAAACTTTGTTCCATTTCCTGTACATTCACCTGGGCAATATACCGGTGTATATAACCATGCAGTCGATTTGCATGTCTCTCCATTAAAGGTTGGGCATTTGAATCTGCAGCGCGCGTCTCGTTGCCGTTTCTCACGGCAGTAGGAACGGCATCCTCGCAAAAGGGAACTGCCACTGACACCGTTCCATTGAAGTGCTCAGGTGGGAAGTGTTTTGAGCACATAAAAGACCATTTCGTTGGTTCCCAGTTGCGTTGGCTGAGTCCAATGGCCTCGATTCATAGCCTCCTTCGATGGGAATCTTTGGGCAACCTACACGACAGCAATTATAAATGTACGCGAATTCGCTGACATTATTGACACATGGACAAATAGTTGTGAATAAATTGAACCACAGTGATATCACGATGCGGACAAAGCGAACGAACGAAGAAACTCCAGCGCTAGCTGCGCCATGACGTCAGCGTCATGGTTAATTGCGCTGTGTTTTATTGCGTTCAAGAACAGTTACTAAGAGCCGTAAATGAATCCCAGGAACACTACGCTGGCGCATGCAGTATCGCGCGTTATGTTCTGCAAGGATACTTTCCATCATACCGTACGTCGAACATAAAGGATATTCAATACACTCACCTGTGGAAGCTGATGCCTGGTTCCTTCCCGTTTTATCGAGGGCATCGCAGCTTTTTAGCCCATGCAATCAGATGTATCGCTTTCCGGCTCGGTCAGCTGACGATGTCCCTGCGCTCTGGCCAACGCAATGCGATATCATCTCCTAGCAACCAGATGAACCAGGGGAACCGTGAATTTTTCGTTGTAGCAGGAGTTTCGTTGAAGCGGCGTTCGTTGTAGCGGGGTTCGACTGTATAGTGCACGAAACCATAACCATTTGCACCATTTACATTTCCCTCAACGAACAATTGACACTACAAGAACTCGAGGAGCTGACTCCCCCACTTTCAGAACCGTTTGTTGTCGTAGGAGATTATAACGCCCATGATACACCTTATGGGGCAGTGACAAAACGGGCCAAAGAGGGCATCTCATTGAAGATTTTATTTTATCGAATTACATTTGTTTTTTTAACTCCGGCACACCAATGTACTTTTCACCAAGTTCAGGCAAGCTTAGTTGCCTTGATCTAGCATTTTGTTCAGCATCTGTTTTTAAGCGACTTTAAGTGGGAAGTCCTCGACTCTTTATACGGCAATGATCTACCTGCAATCATCAAACTGCCATCCTCACTACCCACCATCATCCGTTGTCGAAGTGCAGTCACAACGACAAGCTGCACCTTTCTCTTTCCCATGGCAGCGAAAGGTAGTGAGGCCGGGCGAGAATTTGAAACCTGCTGGAACGGATGTTCTAACCCCTGTAACTTCCTTATTATAGCACGCATTCACAAAATCTTTGCGGCAACATGTTCACAAAGCAAAAGTGCACATAGTTTTCTTCATAACATTTTTTGGACCTCAGGGTTGTTTACTGGCCCTTTAAAGGCACACTGCAGGGCAAAATGATTTTTCGCACATTAGTAAGGTACAGTTCCACAATCCCAAAAACGCCACTCTTTTCAGTGATGTTCCATACTACGCCGAGGAATTCCCATTCAGAGATATGCAAATTCCCTATTTCGAGGATTTTTCCCTGCAAGCATAGACAAAATTTCCAGCATATTTCCCTGCACAACAGTACTAATTTCCGCCCCCATATATGCACACACATACCATAATTACACGTCTCTGATGTACTGGCGACTTTTGAAATTATGACTAGGCCCTCCGCAGCAGCACAACAAAAGCATGTCTTTATTAATTCATATACTGTTAGTACACTGCGCATTGTGGGCTTCAAGTCTAACACCAATAGTGAACAAGACATCGCTCCACGTAAATATCAGAAACAAATCTCAAGGGTGCATGCGCCAGAACTGATTTGAAGGTGCACTGTGACTGCTAATTATTGGTCATCATAGAAGAATTTAACCAATCCTGAAAGTTCCTGCAATATCATGAAGATTCTCTTTTTCCATTTAGCTCAAAATGACAGGCGAGAATTCGCCTAAAAAGGGCGAATTCTCTGCACGGAACATCACTGACTCTTACCGCGACGCAACACTTAGTAAGCGAGAAAACGAGCGATAAAAAAATTTGGTTGGCGACGCCACTTTGAGATTCCTGCACCAAACACCGTGTCATTAATCGATAAAAATGAAGTACATTGTAATCTGTAGATGCCCTACACTTAACATACAAAGTTTAAAAATATTTCTTCAAGCAAATGCCACGAAAATAGCAAAAAGGCATTTTGAAATTTTTTTAGTCACGCGCGGAGATTTTGGCGTGAAAATTAAAATAAGACTTAAACCTTGATTTTGTCTGTCAATAATGAGCATATGATAGTAAAACATATAGAATTAGAGTTCTTAGAGTGTAGATTATCAATACAAACCAAGTCACAGTTTCTCATTAGTGTTCCTTTAAATTTCATATGCGTTACAGTCTACACTATGTGCCTCACATATTCAGGAAGCAAAAAAAAAAAAAAAAAACTGGTCCTAACTTTTTTGTGGTCTTTCTAGATGGCAATGTTGTTACATCTTTGGCTTGTGACTTCATTTATTTATTCATGTATTTAAAAAGTCCTTACAGGCCTTGTTAGAGGCAATGGGTAAGGGGGGGCATCACCAAAAAAAACTATCACGCATAGTGAATACTTATACAAGATGAAATGAATAAAATGATAAAAATGAATACAAGGAGAATTCATGCCCTTGGTATGAAGGACGTAATTTTTTCACCTCGCTTTACAGTGGCACCAATGCGATTGTGAAACTGACGTGCAAGAGACCTGAATGTTTTTATCACCAATGTGACTAATAAAGGAAGTTACTGACAGTCATGAAAATGTTTATGCTTGTGCAAGTTGGCCTTTAAGAAACTAAGTGAACGGCAAACCACAATATCTCAATGGGCTATTTTCACTGTGAAGCATGACATTATCTTTGCCTGAACACTAGGTATGAGCAGGCTGATGTCCCTCTCATAATCTCCGTACTGTCAATATCTTTTGTTTATGTTTTTTTAACGGGACATACTGAAATGGTTTTGTAGATTTGAACAAGCATCTGCTTTCTTTTGACAAACCTAACGAAACCTGATCACAATTTTCTTTTTAAGACAGAAGAACAGCTTGGTTTGTGAAAAAAAAAAGCCTTAGCCAGAACATTTTTTTCGTGCTTCAATACCATTGCGATCCAATATGCAAGTATACGTTCTATGCATACTGCCCAGTGCTGTACTACATATGTAAAGTTTTCCCTTGAAAGGCCCATTGCCTGCTAGATTAACAAAAGCAGTGCTTTAATCAGCAAACTAAACGCCTTACTCAAGCTGGTTTGCCGATATATGTTTTGACCACCGTTTCTGAGTGTCTACTCCGAGAAATCAGAACGAGCCCAGAGAATAATGCTCCAACCCGTACAAAGGATAAGGGACGGGAGAAACGAAACTTCGTCGTTATTCCCTATATCCACGGCGTCACCCACAACCTCAAAAAAGTGGCCAGCAGGTGCGACGTAGACCTGGTTTTTTCTGCTCCAGAAAAACTGGCTAGGTTGTGCAGGGCCGTGAATCCTGATTCCAGGGTTGAGCGAGGCTGCAAAATCAAGCATCGGAAGAAGTACGTTCCATGCATTGAAGGGGTGGTGTACTCTCTACCCCTGTCCTGCGGCAAGTGGTACATCGGCCAAACAGGCAGGTGTTTAAATGAGCGGCTGAAATAGCACGCTCACAACGTCTCCTCTACAATTTCGGGCCACCTCGGCATTCATTGCCGAGACTGCGGTTGTGTCCCCGATTTTCAGCTTTGTGCCGTCATTAGGCGTCATCGGGACCAGATGATACGTGAAATTTATGAGGCTGCAGAGATAGAAAGGCTGGGCAGTGCATGTGTCAGCAGGACTTCAATTGCACTATCGCAAAAAGAAAGAGATTTTCTTCGGTACGTTAGCACACGTGTTGTTCATGGTGCGTTGTGGCGATGATTACGTGGTTGTTAGCTGGATTCTGTTTTCTTCGTTTTGTATTTTTTCTTTTTTTTGTCAGATACTGCCCAAGTATATATTGTGCGGTTCTAGCAAATAAATCTTGTTGTAAGTCAGTGCCGCTGTCTGTCTCCTTCTTTCTCTTGTCCCTCGTTATTGGCGCTGTTTTTTATGTGAATTATGTCGTACCAACTCGGCCAAGGAACCACGTCAGCTACTTTCATTTCTAGTACATCGGGCTCTTTTAATTGTTTCATCGTTCAGCCATGTGTCATCGTCGTCATGTACGTCTATGTTGTGTGCAATACCCGAAAGTTCTCTTTTCTTGTCCGGTACAAACAACTCCCTCCCGACATTCTGCTGCTCTTCGGCGGTTTCAGGCCTTCGCAGGGACACTGTCTTCGACTCCTCAAGATCCTTAGTTCTGAGTGGCACCGACAAGCTCGTTTCTACAAGCAGTGTTTGTTTCTCTCGCTCCAAGGGACTACGAACTACAATGGAGGCAAGAAGTGGCTCGATCACCGTGACCTAGCTAATGCGGCGGTGGAATTTCGTTGGCGGCAGATGCTGACTGAACTACGAGCTTCGCTGCCAAAAAAGCCCTCCCCCAGCAAGGAGGGACTGCATTCTCTGGCGAATGTGTCTTTGCCTGAGAACATACGCAGTGTGCTTAGCCGCGGCCCCAAGTATGCTTTTGAACCAAGAAGGTCAAGGGCGGAACTTCTGGGCCTGGTCCGCAGCATTTCTAGGAAGGTACCTGCTGACTATGCCAAGAGCTGTGTTTCTGAGGGTTGTGACATTCTTCGTAACCATAGAGCAGGCTTGACCAGGGTTTCTGTAAAGAAAGTAAAATCCTTCCTGAAGGATAAGTCATTGTCCTTGGTAGCAGCAGATAAGGAGGGAGGTTTTATTATTCCGAATGAAATTTATAAGAAAAAAGCTGGTGAAACGCCTTTGTTTTTCAGCCCCAAGCTAATGTGTCAATTCCGAAGGTTAAAAGCTATGCAAAAAGTCTCTGTAAAAGATTGAATCTTAATGGTTTGGTAAAAAAGATGGATGGCAAGAAAAACCTTAGCATGGAAATTTTCTTTAACGCGAAAACGTACAAAGTTAACTGTGCTTTGTGTTATAGTATCAGAGGTGAACGTGTGGCAAAACATACTGGCACAATTTCTTCAGGGTAAACTGATGTTATTAAGCATAGACGATCCATTCCTAGCTAAAAGTTCCTATGATGTGATTTCCGTGTTGAAAGATAACAAAGTTTATGGCTACCAGGCATGCTCAATAGATATTAAAGATCTGTACTACTCATTGCCACACAGTGAGCTTCTAGCTTCCATTCGCGGGTGCATTGACAGTTTTGGCGTAGTGAATTATCAGAATGCAGTAGGTATACCTGTTGAAGGTTTTATGGAACTGCTAGAGTATTACCTGAGGTCGACATTTGCAGAGTGGGATGATCACATTTACTTGCAACGTCAAGGGGTGTGCATAGGATCATGCCTTGCACCCATTTTGAGTGATTTATTTTTAGGCAGCCATGATTGTGCCATTCATAATTGCTTGGAATCCACAACTGTTAAGAGAGTATTCCGCTATGTTGACGACTTCCTCGTGTTGTTTCAAGCTGGAACCTCGTCGGACGGTTCGCCTTTGACTACTATTTTAGAAATTTTCAGTAAGTGCCTTTCTCCGCTTGTTATAACACATGAAGTTCCGGACAGAGGAGCCATCAGGTTCCTAGATTTGATGTTAACATTGAGTCCTTCCCACGTGTGTTGGGCCTATGAGCCACGCTCTAACAAGCCAGTCCTCCCTTTTGGTTCAGCACATTAAAAAGTGGTGAAGCGCGCTATTGCTAAGACTTGCTACACGAACGCTCTGCGAAGGTCCTGCCATCACACGATTCAGTCCAGCTTTAATCAGCAAACTAAACGCCTTACTGAAGCTGGTTTCCCGACGTACGTTTTGACCACCGTTTCCGAGTGTCTACTCCGAGAAATCAGAACAAGCCCAGAGAATAGTGCTCAAACCCGTATAAAGGATAAGGTACGGGAGAAACGAAACTTCGCCGTTATTCCCTATATCCACGGCGTCACCCACAACCTCAAAAAAGTGGCCAGCAGGTGCGATGTAGACCTGGTTTTTTCTGCTCCAGAAAAACTGGCTAGGTTGTGCAGGGCCGTGAATCCTGATTCCAGGGTTGAGCGAGGCTGCAAAATCAAGCATCGGAAGAAGTACGTTCCATGCATTGAAGGGGTGGTGTACCCTCTACCCCTGTCCTGCGGCAAGTGGTACATCGGCCAAACAGGCAGGTGTTTAAATGAGCGGCTGAAAGAGCACACTCACAATGTATCCTCTACAGTTTCGGGCCACCTCGGCATTCATTGCCGAGACTGCAGTTGTGTCCCCGATTTTCAGCTTTGTACCGTCATTAGGCGTTATCGGGACCAGATGATGCGTGAAATTTATGAGGCTGCAGAGATAGAAAGGCTGGGCAGTGCATGTGTCAGCAGGACTTCAATTGCACTATCGCAAAAAGAAAGAGATTTTCTTCGGTACGTTAGCACACGTGTTGTTCATGGTGCGTTGTGGCGATGATTACGTGGTTGTTAGCTGGATTCTGTTTTCTTCGTTTTGTATTTTTTCTTTTTTTTGTCAGATACTGCCCAAGTATATATTGTGCGGTTCTAGCAAATAAATCTTGTTGTAAGTCAGTGCCGCTGTCAGTCTCCTTCTTTCTCTTGTCCGTCGTTATTGGTGCTGTTTTTTATGTGAATTATGTCGTACCAACTCGCCCAAGCAACCACGTTAGTTACATTGTATGCTGTTGACTGTATCTGCTTAGTAAACACAGCACGATTATTGTGACAATCAAATGGAAGGCTTCGTCTCAAGAGTGCAGGTGGTAAGCACAAATGCTCCCATTAAACAAGCCATGATGCCCAAATTTCACCCATAATCTGTGTTAAGTGGGTTAATCCTTGGGAGTTCACGAACAAGCTGGTAGAATTTCAGTGAACTGATTGAGCACTTAACATGTTCGCTGTAAGAAGCATGCTTGAGGTCTCGTTTTACGTGTGGAGTGACCTACCGGTGGGCCACTCGGCATATCTTCCAGGCTCGCGGTGACCCTCTGGTGACCCACCGGTGGGTCATGGCATCTAACAAGGAACAATTTTTTCTGATCATTTATAATCTCTTGCAACAAGAATCATACCTCTGTGTTCATGTTTAATAAATTTATCGCATCAGCAAGCAGGTGCATGCTCGTAACATCGTGGGCTCATAGGAGGAGCACAGGCTGTGACACATCAGTGACCCTCGCTGCAGTAAACGTGTTAATCTATCACAAGCATTTCTATAAACACGCTAGTGGCAGATTGGCAAGCCGTGACGTAAGAAGTCCCTTTCTCTGGAAGCATGTCTATTGCAGCCAAAGATATTGTTTTGTGGTCAGCTGCACTTGCAGTGGAGCTTTTTCTTCAGTTCAGCATTGAAAATTGATTGTTTTGCAGCAGCTGAAACTTGGGTGGTGTCACACACTTCGGGTGAGGCCCCGCCGATCCAACATCGACGTGCGGCAGACTCGCAAGCTTCCACTTTACGCTTCGGCCTGCGACGCCTGAAAGGCCTCGAAGTGGCACATTTCGAATTTATTTGCGGGTTGGTCGACCCGTGCGGGGTTGCACGTGTGGTGATGTGTGGGCCTGACCGACGCACTCATAGAGCAGACACGGAGTTCGATTACACATAAACAAGCATTTAATCGAAACAAGGGCAAAGGCAAGAGTTAACAAAAATAACAAAGGGGGAAACTGAGGCGCGATGGAAAGAACAGCTATATAACAAAATATGCAAAAAAACAATACAAAAGATACAGGCTAAAGACGAATATGCGGAACATTAATAAAATAACGACAAAATGGAAATCAGAACAGAGCGATACAAGGGAATGATTACACAATGATCATGGTGGCGCTTCTGAATTTAAACGTGCGACGCAGCGCCCACTACAAATATTTAAAAAAAAGGCTGGTTAAAACAATTTAGCAGTTTAAAAAAAAGTCACAATAAAAAGTTCCATACGGACCAGGCCAGCTCTTGGTGCACATAGGGGAGTTGACGGGTGCGGCTGAAGGTCTCGCCGGCTTGGTAGACGACGAGGGTGCCCGGAATTGCAGCCGTCTCAATACGTTGCGCGGGTCACTCCATGCTCGCCGCCTACGCGAGACTCGCGACACCGACGACCGCACTTGTTGCTGGCTGTACGTCAACTGCCTATTCCGATGCAGTCCAAACCTCTTCAGGGGCGTACACGTGTTCCCGTCTCATCTGGGAGTAATTCTCCCTGTTGAGACCGCCGGTTCCCCTTCCGGTCAGGGGCAGGGAAGACGAGCCGGCGCCACGCTGGGTCGTTATAGTCGCCGGATGTCGTCTCCCAACACAAAAACGCCCCTCCTTGAAGGTGGGGCCCGCGGATGCTCCGAAAATTGGAGTCGTTTGTGACAGGTGGCATACAACGGCTCTACATGATGTCATTGGCAGTCGTCGGGATTTATAGCCGGTGACTTCCAGGGTTCATTTTGCAATGAAATACTTTTACAGTCCATTTTTCACACATGTACAGGCACAACGAATCCTCCAACTCTATAAATATAGCTGACGAAAAAATTGGCCACATATCTGCTTGCTTCACTGATAGTCTTATTGGCCAAGTGGACATTTATGTTTTGCTTGCCTCAGACAGCGACTCCTTTATGTTTAATAGGCTGCATCTGCATTGATAAAACGCAGGAGGTGCTGCGTTAAGGTCTCTAGATGAAACAAGTTTCCAAGGTAGCGACATTCTCCCCTTTCCTCCTAGCTTATGTTCATGGAGTGCCCCTAGAAAGTTCAAAACTTTACCAAAAAGGCGAATACTTGGGTTCAGTTACTACGGTAAATAGATGTTAATGAAACAAAATGGAAGGAAATGAGTTGTAGAGTAAACAATCACCTATATGAACATAACCGGTACAACACAAGAGCAAGCGGGGCGTGCGTTACTCAATTGGCAACATTGTGCAGTTCTATATTTTACACCACTAGCCATGGCATCTCGTGTCGTACATCGTAATTTGTCCAGTGATAACTAGCCCACTTCTCTGAGTGTGTTTTGTTTGAGCTGTGGCACAGTGAATAGGCGTCTTGTTGGATCCTGTCAGTGACCACAGGGTGTGACATTGTAACTAGTGATTACAGCCGGCTTGTGCACACGCAAGGAAAAACTACGGCCAGACTGGTACAAACCCTTGACTAGCAGCACTGCGATGACGGTTTTTCTTTTTTTAAATGTGCCAATTTGGACAATCGTGATGCCAGATAATTCTGGCGCAGTGCGCCAAACTTTCTCAAAAATGAGAGTTCTAATGGTGAGGTGTCCCAAAGCAGCACGTTTCAACTCCTTTATGCCACATTCCAGAGAAAATGGCTCAAACTGGTCAAGCGTGAAATGTTCCTGAAGGTGCCTTGATTAGACCCTCCAGCTGCTCTGTATACGTGCATACGTGCGAGTATTTGCAACAACTGGCATACACTAGACACGCATTAGATGCGCTTCTGGCATCTCAACAACTGACAAATAAACTCGCTTTGCAGATTCGCGTTGATGGAGTTGCATGAAAGCGTTCGCGTGAAATGTTTCATAGCTACACTTCACGGGTGCTTCATTTCGGATAAAACGAGGTAAGTTGAAGAGAGAGAAACCATTTTCTGTTGTTTTAATGCAATCCAGCATTTCTAAAAAACTGGGATGTTGCATTGAAGAGCACTGCGAAACATTTGCCCAACTGGCACCAACTGAAACGCTCCTCCTCTTCAGTTTATGTGCTGGCTACGATTTCGTCTTTAGTCACGGCGAGAATCCAGCTGGACCCATATGCAAATGTGTACTTGTTTTGAGCCTTTTGCATAATAATAAATAAAACCACCAGCCATTTGCAAGACCACGTGCAAGGAATGCATCAATTACAGACGTGGATGGCAGAAAAAAGGAGGGGTAAGCGAGAGAGTGAGGTGGACGGCATCGATAATAATGAATGAAGCTACCTTGGAAACTTGTTTCACCCAGGGACCTTACGCTGCATGAGATATGGGCGCCGTGTGACAGTATGGTCGGGAAACAAGAGTTTGTGCAGAAACTAGGGCACTGCCAGGTGACAGCCCCATATTGTTGGCAGAGAACTTACATAGCGTCACATTTTTAGCGCAGCACACTAGTGTCTTTAGAATTACCTATCGCTGTATTTTCTAGTAAAGGTACACACCACCTAATACTTGCGTGTTGATAGCACACCTCAGATGTGCATAGTATCTTTTTTTTTATTGACAGTGTTTATAAGTTAGAACGCAGCTCCCAGTTCAAGATGGCTGGGTGCTGCACGTGCCTAAACTTTGGTCGGGTCAGACCAAAATTTTTGTGTTCTAGTATACTAAGAAATACTATAGTCTTTAAAACTGGGATTTGGTGAATGACCTTGTCATGGCCCCTTTAAATGCACTGCTTCTGTGTTGTGAAGTACATGGGACTAGTTACGGATGCTATGCAACACGAAGTGGCTGAGTGTTAGCAGCAACGCCTTGTGATGACAGCCTTCAGTACTTAACTGCTCTGGAAAATTCTCAGTAAAACACCCCTTAGATAGCACAGCACGTAACTGAAAATTGATATGTGGCCTGGTGAGGTGCCTGTGTATGCAGCTCTGGGCCGTGGCTAAAAGATTTTAATGAAGCTGTCCAAACTGTATAACTTTCCAAGCCATCTTGATCTCCACAGAGTTGAAGCAGCATTGACACAGCCTCGAGGACTTTTGTGAAGCCGCCGTGGGTAAAGATGATGTGATGTGCAAGGCCTTACCATCGCTGAGACCTGGGAGCACGACTACGGTTGCAACTGAGACCACTAGGAGCACCCATGGGCTGACCTGAGTACAGGCATCGTCTGGAGGTTTGCGAGGTGGAAGCCCTCACGTCTACTTCGGCTCTGTCCTAACTCGTCCTTCACGATGACGGCCCGATATTCACAAGTCAAGAAAGTCTATAGGTCAATGACGTACATCTTGACAGTGCAGCCCCGTGAGTTCAGGCACCGTCTGGAGGCTCACGAGGCGGGAGCCCTCACATTTTATTCTGCTCAGTAATGATTCGCCCTTCAAGACGACTGCCCGATGTTCACAAGTGAAGGCAGTCCATAAGTCAACAACGTACATCTTGACAGCGCAGCACCGTGAGTGCAGGCACCGTCTGGAGGCTTGCGAGACAAGAGCCCTCACGTCTTCTCCGGCTCAGTACTGACTCGCCCTTCACGACGATGGCCCAATATGCACAAGATCATGAAGAACGACTGCCCCACAAGTGACGGATGTTCATTTTGCAGACCTTGTTTCATTGTGCAAACCTGTTTTTATTTCGTTGTGCAGATATTCGCTGTGCAAACCTGTTGACTCCGACTTTGCCACGTGACACGGCCGGCCAGTGACTTCTCACATTTTCGACACTGGTCCGGATAATGAAGGCCCTCTACGAAAGGCGGAGTAGAACACGCAAGGCCGTCGCTCAGGTCTTCGCAAACGTCGAACGTCTTCAGCAGTTGGATCGCCCACCAATCTGTGAGTTACGACGTATTCACTTAAATTTGATTGAGCAGTATGAGGAACTCAAAAGAATCGACAAGGAAGTAGAGAATGCAGTTGACATGGATCACTTGGAAGCAGAGATGGAGAAAGCTGACGTTTAGAGCACAAGATTGTTCTAGCTAGGCTCAGAGCAGAATATAAGATCCCAGATACATTAAAGGCTCAACAGACGCACCTAGACTCAATACGACAATGTATGAAAATGGAAGGCCCAGAATAGAGTACTCTCTCCAAGAATGTCGCTGCAATCTAACAATTACGTCTTCAACGGTCATTTTGTCCCACAGAACTTGGATGAGTGTACCACAGGACAAATAGAGAGACAAAATGGCAGCACACAAGCTAGAACTACAACTACAGAGAAGATCTAAAAGGCCATTCACGAGATACTAATAATGCGCCCAAGCGAAAGCTGGCAGACTCAGACATTATAAAGCCCTCATCAGCCTGTGTTCAAGTGCCTGATGGAGGAAAAGGAAGGCCAGCTTACAAAGCGAGAAGAAACAGAAGAAAGAAATTATTGATTGATTTGTGGGGTTTAACGTCCCAAAACCACTATTTGATTATGAAAGACGCCGTAGTGGAGGGCTCCGGAAATTTTGACCACCTGGGGTTCTTTAACGTGTACCCAAATCTGAGTACACGGGCCTACAACATTTCCGCCTCCATCGGAAATGCAGCCGCCACAGCCGGGATTTGATCCCACGACCTGCGGGTCAGCAGCCGAGTACCTTAGCCACTAGACCACCGTGGCGGGGCCAGAAGAAAGAAAGGCCGTGACAACACAGAAGCAAGCCTCTTGGATTGCTGAAAGCTTCAGCTCTTTGAGAAAAGCTGCAGAAGCCAATATTCAAAGGAATGTGCATGGCACATTCCTTTGCAAAATTATATTATGGGTATAGCAAAATCATACTACTACACTAGCAAAATTATATATAGGTGAGCTTCGATGCAAATGGTACTTGGTTTTATTTTTGTCTTTTGCGACCATGTTATATTACATAACCATGAGAACCACAGTTGGAAAAAAAAAAGCTTCCAATGAAAAAAAAAGCAGTGCACATATGGAATGCTCCCCTCACAAACAAGTTGTAAAAGCACATAAATCCCTGTGCAGTCAGTGAGTTGAAAATTTTCTGTGCTCAGCACAGTATGCTCTAATCACTGCAAGCGCTTGTGTTGGCTGTCAGTCAACCTTGGTCCGCCTTGTCTCAGCCACGTTGGCTTTCTTCTTGGACTTCTGCTTCTTGCGCCTCTCCTCGGCCTCAATGTGCTTGGCTAGTTTCCAGGACAAAAATGCGCTGATGAGGAAGAACGGGGACAAGCAGAGCAGCACATAGTAGATGAACTCGCCGGGACTCTTGGCAGCCCATTCAACGATGGAGATGGCCCAGGCCTTGACATCCATCGTTGTGTCTGCAACAAGTATTTTAATCAGAGGAGAAGGTGCATTGACTTAGGTGACTGGGAAGTAGTAGAAGGGGGGGCACCATCACCTAATAAAGGGGGTGAAAAATTTATTGCTTAGAGGGGGTGGCTGTGCAAAATATTGCTATGTACCGGTGGCACCGAGATGAAGAGAACGAAGAGAAGGTCTACAAAGAGGATAGAATGGCGCTGCTCGCTTAACCAGTTGTAAACATATCTGCGTCTACTCCTTCGAGTCTGTATCCTTCCCATAACATATTGGTGGAGTGGTGCGATCCCTGTCCTCGCCACGGAACACCGCAGCAGGTGCTTGCTCACAGTGGGCTCTCACTCTAGACTCAACAACGTACTCTCCAGTCGTCACGCCTCCTGCCCTGCCTATATACCCCACCCTGTTGTGTTCTCGGGCCGTGAGGGTTCAGACGTCGATCAATGACTACTCCTCTGTGAATGTGTCGCACCAGTTACAGGTGGGACTCCACACTCATGCTCGTGAACATCACTTTTACCTCAATTGAACCCCTTGTGTCTGGTTTGACACCCATGAGCATAACATTACAAGCTGGAAAAATTTGAAGGAACAGAACCTTGAGCTTTTTCGGAACCCATTTGGTCGTGAAGCTGACAAAAAGATGTCAGAGCCTGAAAAAGTTGTGCATCTTCTCAAGAGTATCACCGACGATGCGTTTCACTTGTTAATATTCAATAATTAAACAGGCTAGTGCATCTCCCATCAGTTGAAGTGCCTTCCAAATATCGCAGCGGCATCCTCATGCTTCAAGAATGCCACCTGCGCGAACAAGCTGGCGCATCTCCCATCAGTTCCAGTGCCTTACAAATATTGCAGTGACGCCCTCATGCCTCAACCTATGTTGTCCACCAAACACCTGTAACAACTTAACGCTACTTAGGCGTGAACTTAATGTGGCCGCTCCAGCTACAGTGGCACGAACTTCCCCTGACCCTCCTCCTTCAATCCCCTTGCTCCTAATTAAACACTCGTATGGCAGAAAATTGCCAGCATGGAAATTGGCTTTATTTTAATGCCTCCCCGTACAGACTTCCAGCCACAATTCACGACTGCACGTCCATTTTTGTTCAACTCTTCATCAATGTTCCACAATCTGTCTGCATGGCGAAAACACGATGACAAACCGATATACTTCTCTTGTCACCGTGCTGGGTACATTTCTCGCCATTGCGAAAGTTGCTGGGCTCCTCCGGCACAAACCTTTTCTTGTACCTTCAATGCTTATCTCGCTTATAGTCGTAAGGCCAGCCACGACTATTTTACCCAGAAACTTGTGACTGAACCCTGCTACTCCCGCTTTTCATCACCCCAATGTGACCAGTCTCGTTTTCCACAGTCCCGCCAACTACCTTCCCGACATTACCAGACAAAAAACTAAGTGTTGTAGCCCCTCAGAGGTGACGCCGCATCACTCGGACTAACTGAAAATCCTCTGTTGGCCATACAGACGAAACAGAGCCTTATCGTCGTTCAAGTAGACGGTGTGCATATGACTGCTCTTGTTGACCTTGGGGCTTAACTTTGTCATGGCAAGCGATTTTTGCCACAACCGCAAAAAAAAAAATTTTTTACACCTGTGACTACTCAGTTCATCCACGTTGCCGACGTTGGAACAGTATCTGTTGTTGGGCTGTGCTCCGCTCATGTAAGCATTGCGGATCGTCACAGAGTTATTCTGTTTACCGTCCCTCTTCACGGAATCCTAAACCTTGACTTCGTGTCCCTCATTGAATGATCGGCCCGCATGCTCTATCTCTACTTGCCCATAACATGCTTTCCTGCACTGCGGCCGAGTCACCTCTGCATTGCCGGATATGCTCGCCTTGCTCCCTATACGCTGACCTATGTCAAGCTTGTTTCAACACCATCAGTTCCTGACGGTGACTATGTACTGACACCTGTCACTGATGTTTTCATCAGTCACAGCATGACATTATCGCAGAACGTTCTCTCTGTTGCAGAGAACTTAAAGTGCTGCCACAAGACATCTTTTTGGCACCGATTTTAACCTTAGAAGACAATGCAGTAGATGTTTTCACGATGTGTGCTCCTTCGGACCCCCATGCTAATCGCCAATCCAACACTTGTTTAGATAGCGCTGTAAAGTCGATAATTGTTTCCAATTTAATACTGCAGCAGACTGACAAGCTTCTGTATTCTCGACTCTAATTGCACTCCTCACAACTCCAATTTTGGCACACTTTAACCCCCCACTGTCCCTACAGAGATCTGTACACAGAGGTGGAACAGCTGCTCCACTAGTGCCATTGAGTGCCAAATTTGTTTGTTTGCACATCCTGTGCCGAACCACCCCTGTCGCGTTAGACTAGTTCATCAGTGACGTACTGCGCCACAGCAACCGAATTTAGCCGTAAATACAACAGATGTCAAGCCCTGTGTCTGAATATGTGGCTGAAACTCCGTGTCGTCGGTTTTATCGAAACAAGACGATGATAGTTTTTGTTTCACGAAAGCAATAATCGCTCGAGGAGCAGCTGTAAACTTTGACTCTACGGGTGTGCTCGCTGGTGTGAGTGCTATCCCAACAGGCATAAGCACTCTCTGGTGTGAGCGCTATCTCGACAGGCATAAGCATCAATGACTTGAAAAGCCTTCTACTTGCTGCACTCTGAACACGAAGAGACTATGCGAAAAGAGCATCTCTTTCTGGCGCCACCATATTCTCTTACACAAGCGTTTTTACCCGATATCGGATCTAAATGAGTTAGCTGCCAGCCTTACTTCCCATAACCATTAAATTTACTGCGGCCACATTCATTGCTTTGCCCTTGCGGTGAAACCTTAATTTTATTACTTAAAGGTAGCGTTCAGAAAAAAAAAAAGAGTGAGAGTACCAGGGCTCAAAAAAAAAAAAAGGTGGTAGTACGCGGCACAGCCTAGTAATTAAAGACAGGTGCATAGGATTGCTTATCGAGCGCATGTGTGTATTCTTGTGAATGCGTCACTTTGCTCCATTATGCCATGCTTATTTACTGAGCAGAAGACATTTGCTTGTTTAGGTTAGAAAAGAATGGGCAGCTGCACTTGGCTAAAAAAGGTCAGTTTCACCACAACGAAGCCATGAATGCGATAGTAAAAGGCCAATAACTCTTATGGATCTGATCTTGCGTAACACTGCAAAACGCAGGTGTAAACAATATGGCTGCTTCAAGAAAAGCAACATTTTCTGCTCATTTTGCGATGAGAGTGCAGTATTTAAAAGTGTATACGAACCACCCACTGATGGCTACCAAGCTAGCACTCATGCCAACCATCGCGACCGCACAAAGCAAGGTTATAGTTGCTGCACTTGCGACACTCCCTTCACATCTTTTCATGCTCATTCAAGATGGGCAATTCTCTTCTCTGCGTTGCCATGGCAGGCCTCCCTAAGCTGAAGGGTGATATTATTGCATGCGCCAACCGAGCAGCGTAGATGGGCCAGTTCGTTTGATCTCTAGCTTTAGCTGCGCCTGCTTGCGCACCCTTATCTGCGTGTAGAACATACCCTGCAGTGGTGCATGTTCTTAACTTGTACTTTATATAGATTATGACGATGCCAGCAACGACATAAACTTGTTAAGAGTGTCTATATAATTGCTGTCACGCAGTAATAATGCTGTCTCACAATTTAACTTAGTGTCTGTAGCATGTTGCTTCACAAGTGCTACAAATTGGGGCTACATCTACTTTGACTACTCCGAAATTGCTCAAAGAGGCCGTTCTGGCTCTTCCAAGCCTGCTACAAAAAGCAATTTTGCCGGCTCGCAAACTCCTGTATCCTGTTCCACCCAAGCAAGTGGATGGTGCAGTGCTAGCTCAACATTGACTTTGCCGAGGGGGGTGCCCCTACACTCCTACATTGACTTCATAGGCACCGGGTGGTTGTTGTACGGCGCCTGCTAAACTCCTCCTGAAAAGCGCCACTCTGCAGAAACGGCACTGGCACGTGAAGCAGACGACGCGTGAATAAGGCTGCGCTACTTTTGGCATCGCATTTGTCAAATAGCAGCGCTGTTTTGTTTTGAACAATCGAAAGCTGTACGCCGTTGCATTTGTTGCCCAAGGCAAAGAGGAGGGGCAGCAACAGCGTTTTTGAACAATGCACGACGTATTCGACTGCCGAACTTGTGTTCAGATAACGGGGCCCATTGTCGGGCTTTTTGGAGACTTCCACGCAGTCGTTTGCGATTGTGCAGTGCTTAATGGTCGAAAAGTCATCCAGAAAGGGTGACACGTGTGCCTTTCCCGTCTTCACACAGAGGAGTGCTGTCGGAACATCAAACGACTCAGCATCTTTGCTTGGTGCTGTGCTTTGGTTTATGTTAGGAAGCAGATCAGAAGCAACCAGAAGGGGCTCAATACTTCTTCCCTTTTGAGACTGCAAATGAGACAGGCCCGACTCGTGAAATACTTTAAAATAAACATTGTTGCATTTTAACTGCTGAACTTGCTGTTCCACACACAGGGCTCTTGGAGTAAAGGCGAGTCCTGACACCCAGGCAATGCCAGTTGTATTGCGATGCGGTTTTCAACCAGATGGCGTACGTGTTTTTGTGTGTCTGCTCTGTAGAAGGGTTGCCGCTTGCATTAAGCGGCCACGTGCGTCAAATAACGGAACATAAAGGCGACGAGTGCACATTGTGTTGCAAGTGGACCCCGAAAATGACGCTCATAACGACTACGTATAATGTATTAGCTTTTTATTTCTATTCTAATGTGAAGCTTTTCTTAGGAAACCAAAGACACTGAGCATTTCTATCTACATGTCTAACTATCCATCTATACGTCAAAGTCAATATAGGTCCTCTTGGCTAATTGGTGCCAATATTGGCTTCTTGGCATTGGTGGTTACGAGTGTATGACGAACATGACTGTCTGATTGTGATATGAGTGGCGAAGAAATCTTGGCGTGTCCGCCATGAAACCTTTTCCTTCTGCCATGTGTGACACTTAC